CCTCGTCATCGAATTTCAATTCCCTATACCTTGCTAAAATTCTTCTTTTGATACACATACCTATTACCACCAAGTTATTTTCTATAAATTATATATTTATGGAAGTAAGAAAGCTAGACTGTTTTTAAAACATGAAATTAGCTAAGAGAATTGTGGCTGTAAAAACACATCACCCACTAAAATATAGAATAAGACCAACTCCAATAATAACTTTATTATATATAGAATAATACAAAGAAAATAAATTCCATCACTTAGTACAGGATTCATGCATTATGTGACTTTCCAACATATAAAACATTATAGTCCTCTTCCTTGTACAAAAAAAAAAAATTATTTTCACACTTGATTTTGGATTTTCAATCTGTATCAAAACAGCTGTCAGTACAATGAGACCAGCACATCATTAAGTACAAGTAGCAAAACTGCCAAAAAAGATTTACTGGTATACGCATCAATCATAATCAACTAACCGAGTGAACAGATTTATTTAAGCATACTCCTGTTACTCATTATACCTATAAGCACAAATGACAAAACTACCCAAGACATTTACTGATGCATAAATTGTGTTACATGATGTATACATATATTAACTAATACCTACTAGAGTACACTCTCGTGTCCAGCTATCATATCAACAGGTGTAACTAATAAAATTACCTTCAAGATTTATCCATCATACTCTATACCATAAACTCAAAAATAAAGATAATAATGAATAAAACTTTCCAAATAGCTTTAATGATGTGTATCTCTATTATCTAACACGGTATAATAAACCAAACTTAAAAGTAAACACCTGTTGCCCACTAGAATAAGAAACTGTACTTTATAGATTTGTGAACGTACAAATCTATTATTCTTGATCCTCAAGCAAAGTTGACGAAATGAGTCCTACCTATCAGATACTTTTATAAACGGCCAAATATGGTAGTTAAGTTCAATGATACTCAAACAAGTAACTTTACCAAAATACCACGGGCAAATCTTGTTGGCAATATGCCAGCATTTCCTTAAGTGTTCTGTGCAGTTCAATGTCATTCACAACATATTGGACAAGTGCCAGAAATATTCAAATCCACAGGCTGCCTCACCCACCCATATAACACCAACTTTTACCATATGTTTGTCTAAAAAATCATTTGAACTATACACGTCTGTTGATGTTATTCCAGTCCATGTCTAAGAGTTTTTAGTATCAGTAACTCAGAATGATATCTAGTGTAACAATGCTTACACTTATGAAATTGCTGCAAAACGTAACATACCAAAACTGAAGTAGAGGTAGTTTTCTATTACAAAGATTATTCAATGCATAAAATAATTTTCAATGTATTAAAATCATAATTATTTCATATTACACTAAAAGCAAGCTGAAAAAAGCAATTAACTGCCACATAATAAGGTTTCTATTTATAAGAAACAAAAAGAAATATATACGATTTTAAAAGTTTTGCATTTAATGACACCTTACGATCTGTACTAGTTTGGCAATCATATAAAAAAAAGCATAAAACATAGAAATTATGTGAAACACTGCTTTCTAACTTAATTCTTATACCATTGAAGCCCTTGCTAATAAAAGATATTTAAGGATTATGAATGTATCTTGTACAAATATTTCTAAAAACAAAAATCTAAAATAAAATTTTCCAAATATTATACTACATAACATGCTTAAAGTATTAAGTGCTTGTGAATCAAAATCTCTGAAATATAGCAGAATCTCAAAATAATGGAATTTTTCTCTAACCTCTTAGTTCATACTGAGAGGACAAATTCCATATGCAAATCTAAATAAAAGTTAAACTTTGACTTATTATTTCGTGATCAGTAAGAACAAGGAAATTGATAGTCCTCAGGTGTCAATGCTTGGGCTATTTGATTTTTATCTATATTAATTATGTTGATAGGGGCATAATTAGTAGCGTCAGAAAGTTTGCTGATTACATTAAACTCTTGAATAATTCTACATGTACAAAGTTATTACAGAATATTGATTTGTTTGACAGATATTTAAAAAATGACCTTCAATTACAGTAAATGCAAGATAATGCATTTGGGTCATCATAATTTCGATCACACATTTAATACAGATGGTAACCCACTTAAAAGTGTGACTGAATAAAAAGATCTTGAAATAGCAATAAATAAGTCACAAGTCACCAAAGCACTGTTCTGTTGGTTGTAGTAAAGCTAACAGAATTTCACGGTGTATTAATTGACACACTGGTAACAGGACAAAATCATTAGTTAAATTCTCACTTGGAACACTGTGTACAGTTTTGGTCTTCTTATCTAAGCAAGGATATTAAACTGAAATGGTTCAGAGAAGGGATGCTAGGATGACCCCAAGGATGGAAATGTTATTTTATAGGGATAGGTTATTTCTATTTTTCTCTTCAGGTGAGCTTATTGAAGCTAAAAGATCACCCAGGGGATTGATAAGATGAAGGTCTCAGATTTCTGTGTACTGTCTTCTGAAAATAACAAAAGTTATTGATGTGAAAACTACAGGCTACCCTGTGGTTAAGACAATTTTATTTTCTAACAGAGTGACTTACTTATGGAACGAGTTGCCATTAGCAGTAGTGGAGACCATTGATTTACAAGAGTTTAACTCTTAAAAAAGTTCTGAGTGAGTTGAATCAATTTTTTTTTATTGCTTTAAAAAACAGCTAAAGAATGAAATTATTTGAAACTTGAGTTTTCTATGCATTATGTAGGTTTTGTAAAATAAAATACTTTTATATGTATATGTGATATTTGTGGGAATTCATTGTGAAATGTTTTAAAGAAACAATTAAAAATGCTTACCTACGTTGTAACTTCAATTATCAATTTTTGTCTACCTACATTCTTGAAAACTTTCTAACAGTTTTTATTTTAACTGTTTATGATCAATGACACACAATAACTTTTTATTTACAATACCGAAATTATAAGCAAGGTTTATTAATAATCAGGTTTCACTTAATATATTTACATATCTTTTTTTTTCAGTGCTTTTCTTTGTTTATTTGAGCAGCTACTTAGGCTTTTAAAGCCCAATGTAAACACAGCATAACTCACAGCAGCTTTGTCAGCAAAAATAAACTTAATACAGTCGATTGCTAAATTATTCAACTAAAAACATTTCTTTTCTTACTATACTGCAATATCATAATTCAGATAAAGCATAAAATGATAAAGCAAACTTTTTGCAAGATAAAAAAAGGCCTGTAAATGTGATGAAAGTTGTTTACAAACGTCAATAAGGTAAGCTTTTATAACTTTGTTCTGATCTTTACGCAATCCTCCACTTAACTGTAAGCTATAATGTCTTAAACAGTTGAAACAGAGCTTCCATTTTGTGTTTATAACACTTATCTATAAAGCTAAGATAAAAAAAATGTACATATAATCTTGACAAGTAGGGTTGAGAAACAATGATTGGCTACAATCAATAAAGCTACACTTGTATGGAAGACACAATGTTCAAACTCCTGACATTCTGTTAGTAAATGATTCCATTTAGAGAGGATGTAACTAAATCAAAATATGTATTTTAAGAAAAAGTTTATGTATTAAAATTGAATTGTATTAAAAAAAGGAACAATGACTAAATATTTATATTCTATAAATTTTTAATTCAATAGTTTGGCCTCGGGGGAATAGGTGCACTCCATCAAGTGCCAAAGGTTTATCAGAAGAATTGAAGATTTCCTAATATATAAAAGGTGGATTTAAGTTTTTACTTGTCTTAAGAGTGGGTGGGCAAGGAGAGCTTTGAAAAACCAAGTAGTTCCTGGTTGTCCATATGTTATGTTTAATACCAACTATATAATAACATCTACTACATAAAGATGAAAAGCCATCTGTCTGTCACGCCAATATCTCAGCATTTGTTCTACTGATCAACACGAAACTTATACAAAACAACAGCACATTCTGCCGCTTGTTTAGCGTGTCTTTTTAAAATTCTTCCAACCCTGTCTATATAAAATGGATGATGCAATACTTTGGGCATATAATTAGATTTAAGGGTAGGTTGGTAGAGATTGTGATGAGTAATAAAATTGAATCGGGTATATGCACACCCCACGCTTGGTATTGCTGGTGCACAAAAATCATAATTGCTGGCTGAAATTCCCCATTATGTTTGCTTGGTTGTCAAGAAGAAACACTGAAACAACATCCCTAAATTTTTTCCAATTGGAACCCTTGGCTACAACCCTATAATAACCCACAAGTTTTACCCACAACACATTTAAATTTGGAAAATGCACAAATTAAAGCACAATTCTTCAGCTCAGCAAGCTAACAAAGTCATAACCAGGAAGACAGACCAAAGAGAAGACCCCATAATTTATAAAAAAATTCACTGGCTTTACCATCACAATTAATAATTTGCAGGGTCATACAGTTGACCAAGTAGGAGTGTGTCTTTGAGAATGAGTTTTTTTGCACATTTCAATCCATAAGGATTTATCAAGAACATTTGAACATAACTTTGAAATAGTTACAAGCATAAGGTATGTTAACAGAATGAATTATCAACAAACCTTTTGAATTTAAATCTATCTCAAATAAAATGTTTCTAATTTAGATTCTTTTTTACTCCAGGATATTTAGGCCTACATAATCAATCTATTAAATTTTAATAAATAAGACAGCAATGTTTTGTTATTATTCCCTTAAATCCTTTGGAAGACAAGTGTTTCAAGGTATCAAAGCACTTTCTTTTTTAAATCAAATATAACTAAGTTTCTGAAGTAATTTGAAATTTTTGAAAGTACCCTGTATTGTACTAAGCACTTCGTATTAAATTTGTATTTAGTGAAGTAGAATCTGTACGATTTCTTAGAATTTGTGTTAATTCCAGTACGATATCAAAATTTAATGTTAGATCAATAAAAGTATTTAGTGAGATTAGTCTCTTGAGTATTGCTCTGCATAAAAATAACTTGTATATTACAGCACTGTATTTTCAGATCTTATCAAATTGAAACTGCAGCTGTTTGTTGTTCTGAAGTTTGTGAGAAATGTCAAACTTAAATATGAAGTTATAACATCATTTTTTTCTATTCTGTATGTGAAGAGTAATGTCATATACAGCTGGATGTAGTGGTTGCAAATTTCATAAATATTTTCTTTATATAAAATTCTTTGAACATAATGATTTTAATTTAATGCTTATATGTAAGAAACTGTAGTATTTAGTATTTGTTCAACAAATAAATATTTCCTTTTAAACTGGGAAAATTTAGGCTCATAACCGAGAATATTTTCAAACTACTGACTTATAGAAACAATTTATGTTGTTATAAAGATGTAATAGAAACTCAAAAATTTACAGATATAACACATGTTTGTAAATCTGTACCTTGCCACTTGGGGTCTTCATTCAGGGCATTTCTTTCTTTATCAAGACTATTTGGTCCAGAAGTACCGTTAGCTCCTTCTTCAGAATTTTCAAGAGCATGTAATTCCCGAATGTCATAAACTGGATTCCGCAAATCAAGCACTCCATGAGCAAAAGCACAATGTGGCCCATTTTTTTACACAGTAGCCTCTTGTATCAGTATCATGAACACATACTCCAGTCTTGTAGTAGCGAAGGTGGTAACGTCTTTCTGTGTCTCCTGCTGTGCGATGTAGGTAGGGACAGCTGAGAGAAAAAAAAAAAAGATACAGAAGTATTTAATAAATTATTTAAAATATCTTCAACATAAAAATTGTTCATACAGCATAATAAAAAACAATGTAATGTCTACTATTACAAGTAACTCTTAAGCGGTGTGTATTGTATATATAAATTTGTGGTTAATATGAATGATGACTCAGAAAAAAGATAAATAATCATCATTCTCTTCCCTTAGCAACAATTACATAATGCCTAAAAATTCATTGAAGTAGGTTTCAAAATTGGAATGCAAAAAAATAAAAAATAATAAGCACTAGAACTTATAAGCATTTTGTCCACTAAAATGAATTTAAGATCCACTTTTACAGAACTTTGGGGGAGGGAATATGTTTTAGGTGGGATTAGCTCCCCAAACTAAGCTTCATTATTAACACAAATACAATTCTATACTATTTATTAATAACAGTTGTCATAGAAATACAGCCTGGGGAATTCAAGGCAATTGCACCCACTTGATCACCCCCCTCAAAAAAAAAGAAATCCAGCCCTGCTTTAATGTGTCCTCTTCAGTGCAGCTTTCTCCTATAATTTATAATAAAAGATTGTTAAACAGTAAATTTACCTATCCATCTTTTGTAGAACTCTTCCAGTTTAGGTTAATTTTAGGAAATATTACTAATCATGACAAAAGTCAAAGATAAAGGCCTATTTGAAGCAGTGAAGAATCAATGATACCTTTACCAGTTTATTTATTAGAGAAACCCTGCCTCCCCTATGAATTCTCACAGAGTAATATGGTATTTAGTATTAGGGTAACTTGGGCATTTAAAACAGCATTGACATTGTGTTTTTACAGATCACTGTGTAAAAAAGAAACTGAAAAATACAGCTTGTGACAATCTTACTATATATACAATGGTATCTATATGCTTTTTAATATATTTTAATTTTACAACTAAAACTAATTTTTCACCAACTTCGTTAAATTTATTAAAACCTATAAAAATATAACATACAAAATTGAGATATTAATACTCCTAGAATTGGCTAAATTACCAAGTTATTATTATCATTATTTCCAATTTACATAGTTAACTAACTTTCATCAGAAAATATTAATGAAAAAAGTTACTTAATCTTGAATGTTGTAGTGTATATCTATTATATAACATGCTATAAACTCGGCTGCACAAATGTGTACAAACCTCACAGACGGCTTAAAAGAGCTATTCAAAACATTATACAGATCATCTAGAAAGCTAAAAAATAACTTATATAAACACATTCAAGGGTGGCAAAGAACATTTAAAAAACTCTAGATAAGGTAATAAAAAATTTTATATGTATATTTAAAACAAATTAAGAATGAGCAATTAAGAATGGATGACCCATCACTGTTCGATAAATTGACAGAAGAACATTTGGCCCATTGAAATCACCCCTCCACCACACCTAAATAATCAGCCAAATGAACACAAAACTAAATTTAGTATTTTACATTCATACATTCTCCAACAAATGTCTAAGATAATTTACAACTATAGGCAAATAATTATACTAGTTTATAACTCTTAATGAAAAATGGGTTATTACACAACTGCAACTATGAGGCTCTCTGTAGGTAAAATAACATGTCAAGCATGCACTTATCTTGCCATAAAATGTCCACAGTCAATCCATATCTTCTTAATAATCTCTTGATTTAAAAATATAAACAAGTAACTATTTCTATACAAATTTTTATTTATAATGCTATACATGCTATATGGGCAATTTCAATTGTAAGTTGTACTGACTTTTCCTTTTGTCAATAAAAAATGAAATATAAAATATACAAGTTCAAACAAACAAATGCAGAATATTTCATTAATAAGGAAAACCTTACACAGCCCATTTTTTCATGTATTGAAATCTCGTTATATTTGACATATTCATTATAATGTTAGTGTAGCAACACTGCACATGTTTTTAAAATGTAAATGTCCCTGTGGACTAACAAATGAAAACTCATTACAGAATGAGATTGATTATAATAAAAAAAACAAGATTAAGCTATACTGTATTATTTTAGTTGGTGAGCTGGGCTAACACCTGGCAGATACATTTTAAGTGTTAATAGAAGTAATGTTATACATGTCAGTTACCAGGAGGTTATTTAATCTTGTAGCCAAACAAGGGCAACTCTAGGTCAAGTTGAGAAAGAAAAAGATTCTGGCATAACTAATACAAAGTCTCTAAAACTTTCTACACAATAAACTTAAGCTAGTAATAAAGCAAACAGGATTTTAGGTCTTATACTTACAAATATTGAATACAGTTTGTAGGAAGTCATCAGTTCACTTTACAATGCAATGATTAGATACAATTTAAGTATTGATTTTAGTTTTTAATCACCTTATAAAAAAATATTGAGTTGCTGGACAGGGTTCAGAGAAGAACTACACAATGATTTCAGACCTGAGGAGGTTATTGTTCTGTATGGGAAAAGGTTGAAATATTTTGGCATGTTTTCATTGTAGAGGTTTGAAATCCAAACGACATTTTCATAAAACACTGTAAGTGGTAAAACTAAAGGATACATATTTAAGATATGGCAAACTTGTATATAACTTCAGCTAAAGCAATGTTACTTTTTTAATTAGGTGGTCAACCTATAAAATAGGTGTGGTGGAAGGTAGATCTTCTATCTTCAGAAGGAACATATATCACAAGTAAGAACTTTGGTTATCCAAAACCATATGTTAACCGTCATCAATTTTTATCTTACTTATTTATAAGTAATATTTTATAGTTATATTTACTTATAAGCTAAAACAAGAGTTATGATGTATAAATAATATTGAAAAATATTTATGGAACTCGTTTATACTTGTAATCAGGGTGTATTACTTTAATAACACATTTGCTACAATTACGAAATTGAACTAACAGAGTATTACTATTAGTATTAGCAATAGTATTATTAATAATATTTGTTTTAATTTCACACGATTATGATATCAAATACTTCTGGTATCTGATCACTAGTCTATAAATGCATAGTTTTAATGGGAAAAAAATCAAAATACGCATTTCCACATCTTTCCAACTTACATTCTATTTCTAGTCTGATTTCTTATTCTCATATTACCTGAGTGTAGGAACAAATAGGTTAATCGTACCACTTTGGCATTGATTACGTTTAAAACAGATGTGCCGTAATTTGTAAATTGGCTTCGTTTGGGTAGAAGTTTCAATTTACATTCTTTGACATTTGCGTGTTAAACCAAACTAATAACTACTGTAAAGTAAAATATATGAAAACAGAAAATTTCGCTCAGGTTTTTACAAACTCATACGAATCAAATAAGTATGCTATATCGGAACATCAACCTTCGCCCGCCATGCGCCAAGATTATTCGTTCCTCATAGCCATAGGTTACCATCTGGACACGTCACACGCGCGCCACCCCAACATGGCGTGCGTAATATAATGGCAGACTTTGTTTACAAGTCAAAGTCACATCCATGTGTTGATCTTTCGCACCATATATTCGCACAATTTTCAATTTATTATAGCTATCAAAAGTCATAAATAACATTGGCAAAAAATACTGTATTTGTTGATAATGCTGAATTAAGCTAACATGTCAAGAAAATCAATTTCTGAAAGCCTTACGAAAATCCGAAACAGTGTTGTTATTCCAAAATAAATCGCTATAAGTATAAGCCTAGTCTACAGTACAGTCTACAGATGGTTCACACTTACTCGTCTCCGTCAGGGCAAACTCCTGTAGTTTCATCATATTTTGTACAGTATACGTCAGGACTATAGTTAAATGTACCATCTCGTTTTCTAACTGGTCTTCGGCGACGTTGGTTCATAAAATGCCAATAAAAACACGTGAATGGTTTGTGTTGAGTACATTTATGTTGGAGAAACAGCGGGCACTGCTCCACACGAAACTCTTTCAAATACCTGAAAAAAAAAGAAACAAGAAAGAAATGACAATCCTGACGAAGAAAGTAAATAAAACTGAAACGCACCTAGTGAAATTATATTTAGGTTCAATCACAGACATACGTGTAATGTATAGGTTTCTCCGTCTGTGTTGGCAACGAAACGGCTTTCGCCTCCGCCGTAGACGGCATTTTGGATCTAAATATCTAGTGCGCGATTCTACTGCGCAAGGAACGCTCTGATAATACTATCTTATTTGATATTAGCAGCCACGTGATCAGATGGAGCTGTCATTTCCGAAGCGTGAGAAAAACCGTAACAGTTTTAAAAAGCTCTATGAAACAATAATTAATGCCTTGAATTTGGGGTAATGTGTTGGATTCTCAAAGAAGTTAACAACTAACTATGTAAACAGAGTTGGTTAATATTTTAATTTAAGACAAAATCAAATCTTAAGCAAGACTTTCACATAGCATGTGTATACGTTATTTTATAGCAAAGCCACATCGGGCTATCTGCTGTGTCCACCGAGGGGAATTGAACCCCTGATTTTAACGTTGTAAATCCGTAGACTTACCGCTGTCCCACTGGGAGACTTCAAATAGTAACGATTATTCCTGTAGACGAGTTATCGAAACAACACAAATTCACCCATTCTTCTCTCTGTTTAGTTATCCTTGTGATGATACAACGTATCGTAATTTTTCAAATTTTTTTTTTTTTTTTCATGAAATAACGGTTTGTAAATCCTATTTCGAAAAAAGTAGCCTTGTTAGCTGCAACTTAAAGACTTCTTTTATAGGAGAAACCTTGCTGAACGATAACTTTAAAATATTGATTATTAGCAGAATTAATTCAGAGAATTTCAATGGTTAACAGAATCTCACTAGCTTTGCATGATTATAGCTTTATAATCACAGACCTGACACATAGGGCAGAAGGGGGGGTACGTGCCCCCATTTTTTCCAATGTATCAGCACTATTATTAACAACTATATTAGACTAACTTAGTTTCCTATTTTTTGCTTCCCCTACTCCAACTCTATAATAAAGTGAGGCCTTGATGTTTATAATAAATCATTATAAGTTAATGATAAAAAAGTCGCATAAAAATTAATATTATTATGTGTGAAACATTTTCTAACAAACTGAAAAACTCGACTGTCATTCACATGAAAAAAAAAGTACGTGTCAACCCAGAACGATGTTTTTGTTTTGTTTTTTAGATATTTGTTATATTATGTTTATAAACAAAACACTTCTTTTATAAACTTGTAATTACTGACTATTACTTACAAATCAAAATTCTCAATTTCAATTTAGTCAAAATAACATAAATTATGCAAAAGGTAAGAGGTAAAAAGAAATGATATGTTAAGAAAATGTTCAAAACGTGAAAAACTAATATGATTAGAAAAATAATGCTTATCTTCCGATGTTTGTTGTAAAACTGAGAAGAGTCTGACTTTCCTGTTGAGTATGAGTGCTAAAATTTTTTCCATTATATTTAGTAGATCATAACTTGTTCATTGACCAAAATGGCAAAAGAAAAACATTAGCGATAATTACTGAACAGTTTTGTTTTAAGATGTGAAGAAAGAACGACAACTGACACTTAAATACTTATATACACAGTTAAACATACATATTTATATCTTTAGTTCGGGAATCCAAACCTTAACGCTAGTATATTATCTAGTTTCACAATTTTGCGAGAGATTTTACAACTAGTCTTTACTCAAATTCTCTAGGTAATCTTCAATAAACCCAAAGGAACTATTACTTTGAAGAGGAAGCAGAAAGCGAACAAGTATACTTAGGACTTACATGTCGCTACAACTGAAGCAATTCTCTACTAATTTAATAAAATACATTTTTAAGACACTGAAGATTAAAACACAACAAATAGATGATTCACTCTGACAGATGAATATCTACATGGAGTTATAATGCTAACGACACATCAATATACCCACACAAACAAAAAATAAGTAAACGTAGTAAATGCACATCTAATTAAACTATTTGAACAAAATTTACAGATAAGCAGAGCTTCACTAGTCATTTCAACATCTTTAAGTCTGAAGTGAATTAATTTATCCACTGGTCATAAAACTTAAAGAAAGTTCTATGCCCGATCTCTATATAAACAAATCCCCCAATTTTGAGCAAGTTTTGCATGTTATGTATATAAAAACCAGACCACATACAGTGGAACTTTAGACAGAGTAAAAAGAGTTTGAGAATCTTAATGGATCGTAACTACTTGTTGAAGGAAAAGGAGACGACATTTCGGCTTTTATTCTGAAAAAGGCCTCAGTATAGAAGCCGAAGCATCGTCTTCTATTCTTTCAACAGGCAGTTGTAGTCTATTAAAGTTAACAAACCTACTAGATCATATAACCCCAAAGAAACTTCAATATTTAGTTTAAATAATCAAGTTCTATAAAGTTTCTTAAACTTATATGATATCGTTGTTATAGAGATTGACATGAAACTTTATAGTTGTTATAGAGATTGACATGAAACTTTATAGTTGTTATAGAGATTGACATGAAACTTTATAGTTGTTATAGAGATTGACATGAAACTTTATAGTTGTTATAGAGATTAGATAAGGAATTTTCTTGAAGTTGTATGATCTAGGTATCATATATCTGTGATTAGACACGGATCATTAATGTTATATGATATCGTTGTTCCAGAGATTGACATGAAACTTCCTCTAAGTTGTACGATGTGGTTACTATGATACAGCTGTCATGTATGATTAGACATGGAACTTTCCTAAAGTTATCTGGTTATCAAAGAGACTAAATTCGGAAGTTTCTTAACGTTGTATGTTCTGGTTGTTATAAAGACTAGATGAGGAACGTTTTTTTTTAAGTTGTGTGTTCTGGTTATTACATATGGCTAGGCATGGAGCTTTTTTAAAGTTATATGATATTACTTTTATTGAGACTAGGCACATTTTCTTTAAGTTGTATGATATTGTTATTATAAAGACTAAACAAGAATGTGTTTTAAGTTGTACGAATGTTATAGAGGCTAAACACAGAACTTTTTAAGGTTGTATAACCTGGTTGTTATATATAATTTAAATACCGAACTTTCTTTAAAGTGATTAATATAATTCGTATATTCAGTGAAATGGAACCTTTCAAATTAAGTAATCTTGTATGTAGACTAGACGTGAAAATTCATTTATCTTGTATAATATTATTGTTGTAGAAACGAGTCGAAAGTTTATATATGTTCTATGATATGAATCCTATAGAAACTAGATAAGAAACTTTTAGTTGTATGATGTAATTGTTGGAGAGATACTAAATATTAAGTTGTATGACTAGACAGGAAACTTCCTTAAAGCCATGCCTCCAGTAACAGCGGTACGTCTACGGACTTACACGGTGAGCAGAGCACAGATAGTCCGTTGTGTAGCTTTGTGCTCAACTTACAAACTTAAAGCGATATTATCTGTATAATTAATATTTGAAACCGTTGGGGCATGTTTAAACTCCATAATTACGGAACTGAGGAAAAGAAGAACAACTGTACATTTCACAAATGTTCATTTATCATGACCTTGGTTTCCCAGTAAAGGCATCACCATAAGGAGCTTTCTTAAAGTTGTATCATCTAACTGTTAAGAGGATAGATAAAAAATATATACAAAAAACAAAACAAAACGTTCCTATAAAAGTGTGACATGCATTAGTTATTATAGGTGTATTAGATTTGGAACTTTATTTACGTTGTATGAACTGGTTGTTATAGAGTAGACATGAAAATCATTTTTAAGATGTATAATATGGCTGTTGTACAGGCTAAGTACGTAAATTTAATAAAGATGTAAGATTTAATTGTTTATATATAATAGTTTAGATACGGATATTTATTTAAAGTGCATGATCTTATTGGTACATTCAGTGACACGAAACTTTCAGATTTGTATAATGGTTATAAAAACTGGATACGGAAATTTTCTAAAGATGTATGATAAGAAACATATTAATAGTTGTATCATATTAATTAGTTATTAATGCAAATAGATACGGAACTCTCTTAAAGTTGTATGATCTGATCGTTACGTATGACTAGAAATAAAGCTTTCGTAAAGTTATAAAACATAGTTGTTATTAAAGAGACTAGATTTTAAACTTTATTTGCATTGTATTGTATGGTTCTTGTAGGGAGTTGATACTGAACCATCTTTAAGTAATAGAAATGTTTGTTATAGAAAATAGTTGTTGTTTGTTATTAAGCACAAAGCTGCACAAAGGGCAATCTGTGCTCTGCCCACCACGAGTATCGAAACTCGGTTTCTAGCAGTATAAGTCCGCAGACATACCACTGTGCCACTGGGAGGCTTATAGAAAATAGACACGGAACTTTTGTAAAGTTATATGATCTCAACCAAATCATATAACTTGAAAAAGTTCTGGGTCACTAACCCTAACAACCAAATCACACAACGTTAAGAAAGTTCCGTATTTAGTCTGTAAAGCCACCATATCATACAACGTAAATAAAGTTTCGTGTCTTGTCTCTATATGACAACCAAATCATATAACTTGAAAAAGTTCTGGGTCACTAACTCTAACAGTTAGATCATAAAACTTGAAACGTTCTGGCTCACTAATAACAACCAGATCATATAACGTGAAAACGTTCTGGGTCGCTAAATCTAACAACCAGATCACATAACTTGAAAATATTCTGGGCCACTAACTCTAACAATCTCATATAGAGACAAGACATGAAACTTTATTTACGTTGTATGATATGGTGGCTTTACAGACTAAATACGGAACTTTCTCAACGTTGTGTGATTTGGTTGTTATAGAGATCAAATTAATATACTTTCTTATAGTTGCATGATATGAATTAGCTACTATAGAGATTAGGTAAGAGAAGTTCTCAAAGTTTTATGAATTACTTTTTTTTTATAGACTGGATAAGAAAATTTATTTTAGCTGTTTGATGTTAATTTGTTGTTATGGAGACCAAATAAGAAACTTTCATGAAATTGTAAGATTTTTTTTATACGTGAAAACTTATGGAACATTCTTAATATTACATGAATTGGTTGTTCTTAAAACCATATGATATACTTGGTATAGAAATTCGATACATAACTTACTATAATAAGTAATATCAAATAACTAAAAGAGCGTTTCTTATTTCGTCCGTATA